GGATCAGAGATCGTTTTCAAGTGGTAAAAGAAAAAGAGACATTGACAAGTCACCAATTTTATCGTTAGATTATTATGTTAGTGGCCTTTAAAACTAAATTCCACGTGATCTCTATGCATATAATCAATTACTCAATAATGTATTTTTATTAGCGGCGGCTACATTTTAAAGATTTTTAATAAGTGATGAGGCTCTTTTTTCCGTTTTATCCCAAATTTTGTTTTAATAAAAAATAATGCACTAGATGCGACAAGTTTTATCCAAATATCTTTGTTACATACTTTTAATTCCGCAACCTGTAAAAGCTATTTTGGAAAGTAATTGCAATTATCTTATATTCATGCATTTTTTTTAATTTTTTTTGCTAAACATCATCTTTGTATTCATTGCAATTATCTTATATTCATGCATGTGATTCATCATTTTGGTCTTTTAAACATCATCTTTGTATGTAAATGATGTCAGGTAATAAGCCGTTTTAGCATGTCAAAATCAATTTCAGTCAATTACACGTAGGAAAAAAGTTGATATATCCATTGTGATAGTAATATTTCATGCTATCTGTTTAATATAGTGACATCTGTTTTACAAAATCTTGTGTCTAACTGACTACAAAGACTTATCACCTAATGCTAATGTCGGCTTTTGAATGATAATGTGGAGAAGTTGCTTAGGCGGTATAGAAGCCACTAATGGGGAAATGGACAAAAACGCATGGCTAACATTAAGTTTTTTTTTTTTTTTTGTCGTACATTAAGTTAATTTAATTTGGTCATGTTGGATACACTTTCTTTAAATCCATTATTTTAGTTCCAAGTTTCCCTACTCCGACGATATATAATAATATATATATAAACACTTGCGCATATTTAAATATCCAGTACAATTAGTTAGAATGATTATTTGTTTTAATCTTATTGGCTCAAAACTATAACTTGTCATGGAAAAATTATGACATATCTATAGAAAAAGATAACATGGCTTAATCTCTAATTACTCTTTTAACACAATTTTTATCAAAGATTAAATTAAAATAATAAATTTCAAAAATTAAAATTTATATTTCGAAAATTTGTTTATAACAACCATTCCGAAATTCTTCTAAAAACTATTATTTTATGGTTATAGTTTTTTCTTTAAAATGATAAGTAATAATAAAAAAAATCTCACGATTAAATCTCCCG